ATCGTTGCACATAATCCTTTGAATCTTTTTCAATTTTGGGCCACCATACTTTTGTTCTTAAAGCTTGCTTAATCTTTACAATACCTGGGTGTCCTTTATGAGCATGTTTTAATGTTTCCATTCTCAACTTAGATGGCATAACAATTTGTGTACTTCGCAAGAGTTGTCCATTATTGGTGACTGATAGTTCATGCCTGACAGAAAATAGATCACTCGCCTTAGTCCATTTTCCCGATTGAATGTTTGATATGGCAATCTGTAATTGGTGATCTTTTTTGGTAGCCACCATGATATCTTTGATGTTCATTGCAACAGGGACAGAGTGTTGTTCCACAAAATTGACATATTGATCTGCTACATTGCTAGCACTCTTTTCTGAACATTCTTGTAAAGGTTGTCTTGACAAAACGTCTTCTGGGTTTCCAACACCTGGTCTGTGTTGAGTGTCAAAATCATACTGTTGCAACCTCAGACCCCATCGCTCAATTCTTGCGGGCATTTTGGACTTGGTATTGTAGATGACTTCGAAAGCTTTATGATCAGTTACAATGGTGAACTTTGTGCCCACAAAGTACAAATGAAATTTTTCACTCCCCCACACCACTGCGAGAGCCTCACGTTCGGTTTGCGAATATTTCTGTTCAACTTTAGACAGTGACCGACTAGCATAAGCGACATTATGAATGTTGATAAAATTTCCCCAAGTCCCACTGGGCTTGCATCAACTGTGAGCACGGTTCTTTGCTTGGGATTGTAGTAGTGCATAATGCAATCCTTCTGAATAGCTTGCTTAATTGCATCAAATGCTTTTTCATGCGCTGGTTTCCATTCAAACTTGGTATTCTTGGCAGTTACAGTAGTTCCCGTAGTGGTGCTGTTAAGGTTGAGTAATTCTGTATGAATTTGCTACAATAATTGGATAGTCCGAGAAAACTTCTCAATTCTTTTACATCTCTGGGTTGGGCTGTATTCTTTATAGCATCGACCTTACTCGGATCAGCCTTGATACCATTTGATGTCAAATGCAATCCATAAAACCAAAGTTCTGTCTGGTTGAACAGGCATTTTTCAGGGTTGACAGTAAGGATTTTCTCTTGAAGCCTTGCAAATAATTCTTCTACCCTCTGATCATATATATGCATGTTGTTGTTGTGTATTGCCCCAGAAAATGATGTCATCTGCAATATTTTTAACACCGTCTAGTCCTTGGATAGCTCTTTCAATTGCATTTTGAAAAATTTCACTTGCTGCATTAATGCCAAAGGGTAGTCATGCACTTATGTCTAAATAGTCCTCGATGTGTTGTAAAAGTTGTAATCGATCGCGATTCTTTGTCAAGGGGTATTTGGTGGTAGCCTGCTTTCAAATCAACTTTACTATATTTTACGGAACCGTCCATGTTTTCCGTAAGCTCTTCAACAGTTGGAATGGGATGCCTTTCTCTCTTGACTGCTTTATTGGCTTGTCTATAATCTCCACATACCCGAACTTCCTTTGGATTTCTTGGCTTGGGTGTGACAACAAGTCCACTAACCCACTCTGTACATTCATCTACAACTGGCTCAATTATGTCTTTTCCAATATATTCTTCAATCCATTCATCAACTTGCTTTCGCAAGTGAAAATTAAGGTGGCCTGTATGTTTGAGCTACCGGTGGACTGTCCTTGTTTATGTGTATCTTCTGCTCATGGTCTTTCAGTTTGCTAGCTATTCCTTCAAACGATTTTGGATAACGCCGTCGTAAAAACGCGTTCCATGTTTTTGCTTTGATTAATGTCATTCGCTGTGTTTGAACTGCTTTGTTCCGACACACTGCTGTTTACTTCCGGTTGCTCTGATAACTTATTGGTACGCATTGTTATTAAGTTTAACTCTAGAGCAGTTTGATAACTCAAAATTGAGGTTGAGCGCTGATCAGGTGTCTCTTTCATGGCATACAGAGTTGCAGCTGCGACCCGTCGTTTAGATTCAATGACAGTGTCAAATTTTCCTTGTAGCTGGATTGGTTCGCGAGATCGAAAGGCATAAACGGAGGTTTTCGCTTTCTTTAGATGTATATTTTCATTTCTAATCGACAATATGTTGTCAAGGTCACGCTTTGTCAAAATATTCACAGTCGCTCCATGCAGCATCCACGAGAAACGGCACTTGTACTCCATTTATTTTCAACTTTACAACAGGTGGTTGCTTCTTTTTCTTTTGCACATTTGAAGACATGCCAAAACAATTTTCGCTACCACTCGTATCGCTTTCCTCGGACGATTCAGAACTTCGACTCGATGTGTTTTCTCTTTCCTTTTTGACACCTACTGTATGGCTTCCTTAGTACAGCCACAGTGTTTGTGTTCCAAATTGTTTACTTTGTGATTTCCAAATTGTTTACTTCGTTCTACTTTAAATTAGTTGATTTTGGAAGATGTTTTCCATCTGGTCTACTTTTACACACAACGGCAAAGTGTCCCATTTTGTGGCAATTTCGGCACTCTTTTCCTGATGCAGGACACTCGTTTACGTGTGGATAATTCCCCCCGCATGTATAACATTTCTTCGATATTTGTTTATTCGGTCGCTGGGCTCGACGTTGCGTGTTACTGTATACTTTATCTTCCAGCGTAGATTTCTTTTCCATTTCGTCGGTTTGTTTGTCGGCTAACTCGATTGAGCGTGCATAGGCAACTAAATCACTAAGTTTTGTGTCGTCGCGAAGTGCTTTTCTTCGTAAACGAGATGATCGGCAGTGCTCCACAATCTGCGTACGAATTTCGTCATCCAAATCACCGAGATCATAAGTAGCCCCAAGATGTCTCAATCGGGTATGAAACTGATCAATAGATTCGTCTACACGTTGTTTTGCTTGGCGAAATCTATGGCGCTCGTATAACACATACTGTTTTGGCGCGAAATACTCAGTAAACCTTTCCACAGCTATGTAGCAATCGTCGTCGGTTCCCATATCTGACAGAGTTGCGAAAATGGTCTCCACTTCAGGGCCAGCCAAATACAACAAGAAGGCACGTTTTCGTGCTTTCGCTTTAATATCAAACCCAACCATGCATCAGTTGAACCCAATCTTTCCATCGAACAGCCAACGAACTCTGATCACTGTGCGGATTAAAAGGTTGAATTCCAGAGAAATTAAGCCCCGCAAAAGCCATAGCACTTGTTTAGTTTCCTTTGTAACCTTTTATGAAATCCTCGTCGCCAATGTTATATCCTTAAATTTAACTCTTTTTAATATATATATTTAATTCACAGTTACTTCGACCAAGTTCTCCAAAACAAATCACGCTCAATCCCCCACGCCATTGAATAACACCACGCCTTATACACTTCCGTCCAAACTACTTCCGCTTTAAACACCACACTGTGCAAGAAATAAATTGAATACATACACACATACATACATACAAAACTTTATTTAAACCACGCTAGCCTCAACAGCCGTTAGAAGGCTGGTTTCCATTAAGGGCGTGAAATTACCTATTTACAAAAAGTTAACTATATACAGGAAATACAAAATATAACAAAATAAAAAAATACAAGGAATTTTAGCTGCACGATTACACACAAGCAAATTTCAACTCATTCTTTGTTTCAATATCGACTTGAAAGAGCTTAGGGATTCAGCAATTTTTGCCTCATGGGGAAGATTATTCCAATGCAAGGCACCATTATAACTGAAGCACCTCTTGCCGAATTATTTTTTCGGCATAGGTGGTGCTAAATCAGTATCCCTATTTTTAAGATTGTAAGTATTATGTCTTTCATTTTTAAAATGAAATGCTTCTTTAAGATTGGGTGCGGTGTGGCCATTCAGAATTTTATAGACGAAAATAGATTTAAGATAATTTCGTCTTTCTTCTAGAGTTTCCAATTTAGATTATTGAGTAACTCAGATGACCAAATATCGTAAGTTGCCCCAGTAATTACTCTTGCAGCACGATTTTGGTATTTTTGCAAATTATCTTTGAGCCGAATTCCACAATTATCCCACAACGAGCTGCAATAATCGAAATAAGGCTGTATAATAGCATTAGATAACATTTTGGTTGTCGACAGTGGTACAAAAGGTTTAACACGTCTCATTGCACCAATACTGGCACCAACTTTAGAACAGATTGAATCAATATGTTTATCCCAAGACAACCTTTCGTCCATAGTCACGCCAAGGCATGAATATTTATTAATCATGGGTACTAGCTTATTAATTAAAATAGGATTACCAGATACTTTATTCTTAAGGTTATAGGGAGACCCAATGAACATATATTTCGATTTACTGGGGTGGATTTGAAGTTTATTGTGTATCATCCATTTGCGTATGTTTTCGAGATCAATATTTATCTTGTCGACAAGGTCGGCGCAGTCATTAGAAGATGCATAAATTTCCGTGTCATCAGCATAGAGTGAAGAAGTTAAGTGACTTAACGAGTCAGGCATATCATTTATGTATAATAAAAATAATAATGGAGGACCAAGGATGGACCCCTGTGGAACTCCGCATATTATCTTTTTTGGGCTCGATAGTTGTCCGTTTATAAGACATTGTTGAACTCTGTTATTCAGGTATGATTCGAACCATCTTAGTTGGTTTCCTGTTACTCCGAAAAAATTACGCATTTTATCAATCAGAATTTCATGATTTATGGAGTCGAAGGCTTTTCTAACATCAAGAAAGACTATACAATTTATTTGACCACTATCCATGTTTTTAAGTAAATTATCACATATTTGTATCAACGCAGACAGGGTTGAGTGTTTAGGTCTAAACCCTGATTGGAATTTAGAAAGTAATGAGTTATTGGAAAGATAGCCATAAAGCTGTCGAAAAACCTCTCTCTCAAAAACTTTACTTACAATCGGGAGTATGGACAATTTCCATATAATTTCCTATAATATTTAGATTGGCCTATAATATTTGGCCTATATATTTGGCCTATATATTTTGGCCGAAATTGGCCTATAATATTTAGCCTATATATTTAGATAGATATTTAGGTACTCTTTATTACAAACTTGCGCTCATGATTATACCCTTTGCAGCTGGCCCAGAAACACTTCGCATAACAATATCCGGAAGGCAAGGAAAATGAAGGTAGGTAATCTTCGAGTTAAGCCCTTCGAGTTAAGCCTCGACCACACCCATTTTCGCTAAGGGCTTAACTCAAAGAAAGAAACACAACTTGGAAAGTTCGAGTTAAGCCTCGTGAAAAAAGAGGGGCTTAGCTCGAAGTCATTAAAAATATTCGACGCTCGAGTTAAGCCCCGACATTTGAGGCAAAAGAGCAATGATTTGAGTCGTCTACAATCTATCTGGAAGTAGTTATCATACGTCTCGGCTTAAAATGCCTTAAATAAGCTGCAATCTAAATGAGTCACGACCAACTCGTATAAACAGTCAAATTTCATTAAGTAACAGATTATTTTCGACTAGCTCTGTACCTCTGAGCTTATTACGAATAAATTGACCTCGTGGCTTTATTTTGCGTAAAAGGCCCATGTTTATTCGCAATAAGCTCAGAGGTATAAAAGATAGTCCAAAATAATCTGTTACTTAATAAAACTTAAGTTTTTTTAAACGTTACGAGTTGTTCGCGACTCATTTAGGCTGCGGCTTATTTAAGCCGAGACGTATGATAACTATTTCCAGCTAGATAGTGGACGACTCAAATCATTGCTCTTTTACATACCTCAAATGTTGGGGCTTAACTCAAGCGTCGAATATTTTCAATGAATTCAAGTTAAGCTCCTCTTTTTTCACGGGGCTTAACTCGAACTTTCTAAGTTGTGTTTCTTTGTTCGAGTTAAGCCCTTGACGAAAATGGGTGTGGTTTGGGCGTGGTCGGGGCTCGAACTCCAAAAGGGCTTAACTCGAAGGGCTTAACTCGAAGATTACCTACCTCGGAAAATGCTGTACGTTTGACGTCTTACTCCTTTGTTGCATCTACTGATTTTCAATCAGTAGAAGCATTGCTAGGATCTACGTCCGTGGATGTTGGAAACAGACAAGTGATGATGTATTGATGACGTATTGATGTAATGCATTGCGAGCATAGAAATTGCTAGCTAAAGTCGGTTATCTAATGACGACTTTGTATGTTAATATCTTGAAGTTCGGTTCAGTGGCAGTGCACAAATTAACATTGTAGCGACTTATGGCCTTTATATAGTCAAGCGAGATCGTATATTATCAAATTACAAGTACAATAAAATGGTTTCGTCAATAACACGAGTACAATGCGAAGAATGCCGTATAACTGCGCGAGAGGATGACGATTTTGTATGTTCATATCTTCGGTTCAGTGCATAATAGAGTTAGTCATTATCAACATTATAGCGATTTATGGCCTTTGATAGTCAAGCGAGATCGTATATTATCAAATTACGCATTTGGCTGAACTCTTACAGTCTTTCTGGACAAGTCGCAACTCGCAAGTATCATCATGCGCGAGAAGATAACGACTTTGTATGTTCATATCTTCGGTTCAGCGCACAATAGTTTTGGTCATCAACATTGTAGCGATTTATGGTCAAACGAGATCGTATATTATCAAATTACGCAATTGTCTGAACAAAAATATGAACTAGCCATACCTTTCGGCGAACGTAGCCTCCTCCACAGGCCTCTCTATGGGTTTTAACCTGCGAATGGATTTTGAAAAAAAATATTTTCCCACTACCCGATTCTTTAGGTGAGATGCCTGCGTAGGAGGCTACGGCGAACATAACTTAGGCCCCTTTGGACGTACAGTATCTTTGCAATATTCTTGTTCGAATCATCAATAACACTGTGTAGACTGTGTACAGTGTTATTTTCGATCTTTTGTCACGGTATAATTTCCATTTCTGGCCCCACTGTAATATAATCCCAACCGGAAATACAATTTTGAAACGTCAAAAATCGATCCCAAAGGTCAGTGTACACCTATGTTTTTATCTTCTCAACTCCTTTTATTTCCTAGTGCTAGTATTCAGTAGATGCATGTACGCCACAGCGGACCTATTTTTTACTCATGTCGCCGCTCTCAATGCCCTCCAGTCACTTGTAATTCTCAACTTTATTTAGCCAAATGCAATTAAAGAGCCGATATTTCAGAAGATCACTGCTACGTGTGTAAGGCAAATATTTTGGAAATATCTGTCAACATGTTTGTTCTTTATGACAGCACACTTATATGCACATTGTAAATTTCGAGGAGTTGAATGAGCTCCAAAGGGTTATTCTGTCAGCGTTTTTGTTGACAGAATAACACTTTTGCTGCTTGAAATTTACACATCCTACAGCTAAATCATCCTTGGGCTTTTACAGTTCAATATCTAAAAAACAAGGCCGCTACTCATTATGTTGAATTGGTACTTACGATTTAGTACTGTCGACGAATATCGATCATCATTTATGTTCATTTTAGGTCGAAAAATTTCAAAGGAAAATAACTGACGTTATTTACCGAGTAAAAGTTGAATATTTCAGTAGACTGGTGACGAGCTGGCGTCTGTGAGCTCTGACTGGTCCCGCAATATTGAAATAAGTTATCGGTAAGAGCATTAACGACAGGTGCTGTTCCGAGAGCAGTTGGTTGGAATTTGGAAGTTGAAAAGAAAAGTGAATTTCGAGCAGACTTTGGGAGTTAATACGGGTTAAAAGTCGCCAGAAGAAGAGAAGATTAACAACAAAAACTGAAAAATATTACAAAGGATTAATAGAGGTAAGACACACACCAACTACTACATATTTCATAGAAAGTGTTATTTCTAGTATGTTTTCTGTATAATTGTGTATCGACAGGCTAAAGCGAGCACCAATTGCGAGACATTTTTAATGAGAGGATTTCTCTCAGAACGTGAAGCTAAATTCTATTCCTAACCGGAAGCAGTTGCGATAAATGACATATCTCTCTTCCGGCTGAAATTAAGCTGTTCCTGTTTGAAATATACAGTATATAGCTAAATTTCCGTCCAAAAAGTAGGAATAAGAGATAAGCACGCAGATGTATTAAGCTTGGCGAATAATAAGTTTGGAGCGCATTATGGCCCAACGCAATTTAATTCGTT